CGAGTATACATGGCAACACCCAACCAGAGGGGAACTCCTTTTGCAGGTGTCCCTAGTTCACCCACAGCCTGAGCTTCTAAGCCTCACAGCCTGGAGGCTGAGCAATCACAACTTAAAGAGATAGGTTAGAGCTAAGGTGGGTGATGTCCTTGACTTCTCGCAGGAAGGCCTGGAGAGAGGCCTCAGTACTAGTACTCTTAAAGAGCAGATGGCATCCATTTTGGCAGTTGGGGAACCAAGAGAGGGAAGTCCCTGTTCCAGCATCCCCATGTCAAGAGATTCCTGAGGGGCACTGCCATGATCAGTTCTCCCCAGGTTCATCGCTTTCCCACATTGAACCTGAATGTAGTTCTCCGTAGCCAGGGCACCCTTCAAACCCATGGCTACATGTTCTCTCAAGGAGTTCACATTCAAAACGACCTTCTTAGTAGGCATTACGTCTGCTAGGAGGGTATCTGACCTTAGAACTCTTTCAGTGGATAAGGAGCTCTGTGTTTTTCATAATGACAAGATAGTACTCTGAACAGATCAGCCTTTGTTCCAAAAATAAACCCCACCTTCCAGAGGTGAGAGGACCTAGTGTTGCCATCCTTTTGTCCAAAATCCCAAATACTCTTGGGAAAAGGAATGGTACTGTTTGAACGTGAAGAGGGGCCTTGAATTTCTATCTGGATAGAACTAGGAAGTTGCAGAAGACTGACTCTCTGTTTGTTTGTTTCAGGAAATCCTCCATGTGACACATGGTCTCCCCCTCCACCATTGGTAGGTGGGCTAAAGCCTGTATAATCCTCACTTGTAAGGCCTGGATCTCCCAGCGGGCGTCACAGCAGACCCCCTCAGAGGAGCGGCATCATCATCAGCTTATAGATCCTTCCCCCCCCCCTTGGAGATCATTTGCAGGGCTGCCACATGGAGGTCCATCTATTCATTCATCAGGCACTACAGCATTGGTAGGCTGGCTTCAGCAGAGGCTGCCTTTGGAAGGAGGGTTCTGCAACATGCCTTTTCGGTCTAGGAACTGTTTCTCCCTCCCAGGGACAAACTGCTTTTCTATGGCTCAGAGGTTCACACTTCCCCACCCCAGGACCACTGGAGAATGGGAGATTTATCTCATTTACTGGTTAGTCTTCCTTCTTGGTGGTTCCAGGGTGGGACAGTCTATTCCCACTCGAGGGTAAAGGGTGATTAGGATGGTTTGCATCATTTGGGGGGCATGCTGTATGGTCCTAGTTCTCAAACCCTATAGTCTTAGTTTTTCATCTGGTTGCTACCTCGGCATTTGCCGTGAATGAAGGATAGCACCAATTATGGGTTTTAATACTGGAGAAAGTGGTTTTTCTTATGGCTTCAGGACAACACTGGAGAGTGTGAGAGATTCTCCTAACAGGAATTGTGAGATAAGGAAGCTGCAACCCTGCCTGCCTGTAAGATTCCCCTCCCAGAGGTTCAGACTGCCTCCACCCCGCCCGGACCACAGAGAAGGAAAATACACTGGTAATAGAGATAAACCTTCCATTTTCCCTAAAACCTTCTGTGTTTCAGGCTTGTGAATGGGATTAGTGGATACAGTTTTAAATTGTCCTTTGGATTTTTTTTTAAACTTGCCAGTAAACTGAATGATAAATATAGCTAATTTTATTATTTATGTTTGTGTGGTTTTGGAGTAGGTTGTGGGGGATCTGGCTTTGAACAAATTAATTTCCAGATATGTTTGTGGCCCAGAGTCATGATATAAATGTTAATGTTTTGATGTACTTGTAATCAGTTCACTCTGTTTTCTCCCTCAAAAGGTACAACCCAGTCTTTTGGATAAATGTTTCCTGGTTCTGTTTAGATAAATTAGCTGGAGAATGTCATTAGCCGGGGGAATTAATGCATTCATTTTTACTTTCCCATTCAGATTTAATATAGAACCCTAATTAGAAAGCTAACCTTCATCTGCTAGAAATACACAACTGTAACTTTTTCGTTGCTTAATTTATCTTAGATTACTTTAAAGGCAGGGCAAGGCTGAGTCTAGCTGCTTTTGACATCATGGATGAGAACACTGGATTTGTGGAGTCCTCATGCCCTTCTTCCCCTCCCTGCTCTTCATGTGGGATGAGTGCTTTTTGCCTTTTCACCTTGAGCTAAAAAGGTCAGGAAAATAAAGGATGGGGATAGAAATTACAGAGAATACAATGAAAAGCCTTTGTAGAGGTGCAGGCTATCTATACTGGTGTGTGTTCAGCCCAGCTCAGAGACTGCACAAACACCCCCCCCCCAGTCCATGACTATTAAACTTCCCTTTGCTTGGCAAAAAGTTCCCTGATCAAGCTCACCCTTAGCAATCACCCTCTGGGATTCTTTGCTTTCCTGTGTGAACTGTGACTACATCTGAGCATAAAGAGTAAGGCAAATGTGGTCTGAATCTGGGAATTACTAATTTCACCAATCTAAGCCTGCCCATTATCTATATACTAATACCGAAGTCGCCCCCTGGTGTGCGGATAGCTAAATCCGCGCACCGGGGGCATAACCAGGCTAGACCTGCTGCTTGATAATAAATTTTCCAATTGGGTATCGCCAATCCCCCATCTTGATTTCCCCCCTGCAGAATCTTTAATCTAATCCTTGGTCTTTTCTTTTGCCATATGAATTCTCTCACCAACTTGTCCAACCTTTGAAAATACTTATCATTTCTAATCACAGGGATAGTTTGGAATAAAAAGAGCACCCTTGGTAAGATAGACATTTTGATTGTTGCTACTCGACCCAGCATTGAAAGTTGTAAGGTAGCCCATTTATCTAAATCCTTTTTGATATTTTCCAATAATGGCTCATAGTTGTCCTTAATTAGAGTACTAAAGAGCTGTATGTGGAGGAGCCACGCCCTGCGGCTAGTTCCCAGATGTGAGTGTAAGGAGGGAGGGAGGGGAGGGAGGGAGGGAGGGATGGGTCATGCTGCGCTACTAGGGTCTATAATGTGTGAAAATATCAATTGATTTTGAAACCCGCTAACTGTCCAAACGCTTCTATTATAGTCATTAAGGGTGGTATAGATTCTATTGGTTCCAACAACACTATTGCCATGTCATCCGCATAAGCCTGTACTTTATAAACCTCCCCTTTAACTTTTATTCCTTTTATATCGTTCTGATTCATATGGCAAAAGAAAAGACCAAGGATTAGATTAAAGATTCTACAGGGGAGAAATCAAGATGGGGGACTGGCGATACCCAATTGGAAAATTTATTATCAAGCAGCAGGTCTAGCCTGGTTAAGAGAATGGCTGATTTTGAAAAATAAGAGAGTGTTAAGTTTAGAGGGATATGATTTGATGGTCGGGTGGCATGCAATTGTATGGGATGAAAAAGATAAAACACATGCATATTTTAAACAACATATGGTTAGAGCCAGTTTATTAAAAATATGGAAGCAAATTAAAGTAATATATTACAGCAAGACACCAAGATGGATAGCCCCCCTAGAAGCTATAGTAATACCAAGTTTGATGTCAGAAACTCGGTCTGTAACATATGATTGTTTACTTGACAGTAATAATGAATTGAAACCGCAAGAAGAACTTGATGCCCAAAACATTCAACTTACATGGTGGGAAAGAAACCAAGTAATTTCCAAGCTTTCCAAAGACAGGAAAATAGGTTTTACTCAAGAAAAAGCAGAGTTAGATAAAATCTTGCTAGGAGATGAAGTTAAAATTATCGGTAAATTATACACTTTTCTTTTAAAGCAGGATAGGCAAGGAAAGATTGTGGAAGAATATAAGAAAAGGTGGGAAGATAACTTGGGCCATGGCCTTGATAACTCTAAGTGGGAGAAAATTTGGAGAAACACTAGATGGTTAAAAGCGGTGGCCTTAAAAGAAAATCTTTTTAAAATGGTACACAGATGGTACCTGTCTCCTGAAAGGTTGGCCAAGTTTTATGCTGGCTTAGATGGGAAGTGTTGGAAGTGCAAGTTACATCTTGGTACATACTATCATGTATGGTGGTCTTGTAAAGAGGTAAATTCATATTGGAAAGAGGTACAGAAGGTGATTTGGCAAATAACGAAAAAACAAATCCCACTCGACCCTGAGGTATTCCTGTTGAACATCTTCCCTGAGGCATGGAAAAAAAAGGATAAATATTTGATTCTACATTTATTAATAGCAGCAAGAATAACACTGGCGAAGGAGTGGAAGAAGGAACAGGTACCCTAGAGCGGTGAGGCCGCTTTGGAGCCGGGGGGGTTTGGAGTGGGGGGGGAGGAGGTGGGGGTGGAGGAGACGGAGGAACCAGCGGGATGGGGGGAGTGGAGAGCTTACCTGCTCCTGCTGGTTCCTCCTACGCCTGCTGAGTTTGCAGCTCCCCTCCCGCAAGTTTCGCGGGTCTTCTTTCTTGTGTGTACTATTTTGCAACTTTATCTCTCTACCTTTCTGTTGTTGGAGCTACTTTTGCTGAATGAAAACAAAACCATGATTTGTGAAACAGCTGCCAGAGGCTCTATGGCATAGCTAGTGCTATACTGATTTAACAAGGCCATTTGCACAATTAGCACTATGTGATTACTTGCCTAATAGGAAGATGTCCTAAAACAGCAAGTAAGGGTTTAAAATAGAGTGAATATTCTCCTGTACCAGCACAACAACCCATAACTTGATGATATATTAGTAATGAAACATCAATTGGTTTGAACACTGTAAGACTTCTAAGGGTCTATATGATTAGATCTTGAGTTGCTTAATTTCCCCCCTCTGTGTTGCCCCTCTCTGAACTGCAAGATCTTTTATCAACCAACAGCAACTGGCTTGCATTTACCAACTCAGGACTGTCTGTTGAGATTTATTTTAAAAGCTATCTTTAACGGTAAGTTCCCCCCCCACCAAAGGTTCTGATTTATCATGCCATGAACAATATTATTCAAGTAATTACTGTAAATTATAACTTCCTCCATAGCCAGGATATGAAAGATAACAATCGAATTCTCATTATCATCATTTTTATTTTGTCTTGCAGAGTCTTCGCCAGGAAATTGAGGCAAAATTTGAAGAAGATACATTTGACTGGGATCAGGTACGCAACAATGATGCTGCAGGACTCCTGAAGATGTTTATACGGGAACTTCCAAGCCCCCTCTTCACTGTGGAATACCTCCCTGCCTTCATCACATTAGTGGAAAGTAAGTAAAGGGAGATCAACATCCTATTTAATATCAACTTCTTAAACCAGTTGCCACAATTCAAAAATGTTAGAAAGTAATTAGCCATAAAGTTTGGTCCTTTTGCTTTAGTATTTTCCTCAGCGACTTCACTTGCATCCTGTATCTGCTTTAAGGGTGTAAAAGTGGCCCACAATCCATTGTCCTGCTTTAGACTCTCCCAAGGGCATTTGTTTTCTCTAAGTCACACATCTATGGGCCAGTTCTTGTACCTACCAGCCAGGTATCCTCTGTGAACATTGTGACAGAGTGTGCATCTTTCACCATGCATACACTTTAATATGAAGGTGAGAAATACATATATGCATTTGCCCAGTTTTTATGCTCCTTCAGTCTCAAACAGGGAAGGCACCTGCATCACATATTACATTATAAACTCACTAGGAAAGGCATGCTTATTTTCCCACCATGCCAAAAGGATTCCCTCAGTGTCACATCACAGAATGCTTCGCAAATTGTCAGGAGCAGCTTTCTGTGTGGCTTGAATGGCTGTTTTTTGGAGGTGGTGGGAGAGATTTTGTCTAGCCTTGTTTTGATCCTTTGGCAGGTCAGTGCAGAAGTGGAGTTGGAGGAAGAATGCAAAAGGAAACACTTAGCTGTGCGTGCACAATTTGTAGCACATACTATAGAGAATCTCCTGAAATGCAGCCTGAAATAGTATGGATTTTTAAAATTTAGGCTACTGAATTATTTGAATAACAATAGATAATTTGTGGTATTATGATTTTACCGATTGTGTAGATAGGTAGGGATTTAAAAACTACTTCTAGTCAGTAAAAATGTTGCTGCTTCTCTCTGTGAAATTATGCTTTTTAGAGGATTGTGAAGGCAAATAGCTTTTGGATAGCAGTTAAATGTTTATTATTACAGTGTTTTACCCTGAGCTACTTTTTATACTTGTATCCATACAGGATGCAATTCTGCTGCCCAGGGAATGACTTCAATGAGCCAGGATAGAGTTTGAAACACAGGATTAGATAAACTGCAAAGCAAAGGGTGATTTAGTTCTTCACTCTAGACTGTTACCCAAACTGGACCCAGAGAAGGGGACATTACCTTTAAAAGGGTTCCAGAAAGGAATGACGTGAGCCTTTTGTCTCTGTATGCGAGGGTGGATCTCAGTGGGGATACCCCAAAATAAAATTAGGAAGAAAGAGAGTGAGAGAGTGATTTTAAACACAAACGTCTTTATTGTATATAAAATAAAATAAAAAGAGTAATAATGTAAGGAACCTACAATAAGCACCTGAGAAGTAATTCCATAAGTATCACACAAACATGCGCACACACCAGCAAGCTTATAAAAGGCAGGAGGGCGGAAACTGGGGAGTTCTAGGGAAGGGACAGATGACCTGAAATTCTGGGCTTGAGGTCTGGCGAGGTCCAGGGGTAAACACAGCTGAGGTCCAAGGAGCAGAGCAAGGATTTTAAAAAGGGAGCCCACAATGCAGGGGTCTTCAGGTAGAGGGAGAATCTGGCACACTCTTCACGGACCTGGGATGGGAACAAGAGTCCTATAGCTAAATATAGGACCCCACCGTCCCAGGAACATGATTAGCACATGATATGAAGCTTGAACTTGACTGGGCAGTTTGAAGGTAACTGCTGTCAAACTTTGGCAGGAAAAAGTGGGGAAAATATCTTGATTAGGCTATTGTGAGCCAAATCTGCATGGGCACAAAGAGCCTGGGTGAGGCAACACGATTAATGTACTGAAGTGAGCGAGATCTGCATTGTCACAAAAGTTTGGGTGAGTCAAGATAGCTCCTGAAACAGCATGGAGCATGAATTAATGACTTGATTGCCCTTCTCGATTGAGTAAAAAAAAGGAAAGAGAGGAACCATGCACTGGTTAATGAAACAGCAACGTCCTTGGGCTGGGGTATGCCAGGATATTCCAGTGTTGTAAAGTCTTTCATTATTGAAAACCCTGAGCTGGGGGAGATTGCACTTAATCAGTTTGTAGTGCCAGCAGAGCATTGCTCTCTGTCCCTGGGATTTTCCAATGCCATGGCCCTACCCAGGTGCTTTTATGAGACTCTCCAAGTTTCAGATCTCCTTGGCACTTAGGCTGTAAAAGGGAGTGCCTAGTAAAACAACTAAGTCCAAAATAAGAGGGGGCCCTGCTAACCAAGGGGGTCCCGGCTGGAGGATGGGGCAGGGTCCTCACAGGACTACGAAAGCTGTTGTTGCCCCAGAAATTCCTAATCCATCTGTGAATACTCTACTGACCACTGTATCCTATCACTGCCTGCCTCTTCCTTATAATTGTCAAGACCAAGAGCACTGCAGCCCCCTAATCAGCTTGGTTAAGAGGCAAGGAACAAAGTTGGGAATGAGAGGGTTTTTCAGCAAGTATGAACTTGCTGAAGCTTGGACTTTCCAGCAGGCTGCCAGTTCCATTTTCACCTTCCAAGTAGGTTGTCACTGTTCATGAGCCTGTAGCTTATCAGGAGGAAGGAATCACCTCCTAGTAAAAGTGTATATGCCCCAGCCTTCAAAGTGATTGGCCCATTAAGCCATTGCCTTTTTTTTCCTGATGAAGCTGGCTTGCTTGACTTGCAGGTAGCCTATACTGTCATTGGTCTATTTCATAGCCTTAATAGAATTCAAGAAATGAGCCTAGCAGACCAACTCATATAATGAAAGAGTGATTAACACATGGAATTCACTGCCACAGGAGGTGGTGGCAGCTACAAGCATGGACAGCTTCAAGAGAAAATTAGATAAGCATATGGAGCAGAGGTCCATCAGTGGCTATTAGCCACAAGGTATAGATAGGAACTCTCAGTCTGGGGCAAGTGATGCACTGTATTCTTGGTGCTTGGGGGCGGGGGACAGTGGGAGTGTTTCTAGTGTCCTGGCCCCATTGGTGGACCTCCGGAATGCACCTGTTATTTTTTGCCACTGTATGACAGGGTGTTGGACTGGATAGATTACTGGCCTGATCCAACATTGGCTTCCCTTATGTTCTTAATGAAAGTTCCAGGGAGAATGAATGTAACTGCAATTCACATTCCTATGCCTGGCACAGAGCATTTCTTTCTGTCCTTTCTGCACAGTTAGATACAAAGACTGAAAAGTAAGGAGACTGCACAAATAAAACATAGGCATCGCCTTTAACAATAGTAAAGATGTGGGATCTGGCCATTTTTTCAATTCACAGAATCTGTTTATTTTAAATGGCCCATTCTTGGAAGGGTGGGAAGTAGGAGGAAGACTGTTAGGAGACAAATGCTGCAGTTGCTGTAAGTCCCTAAGTGCAGTCTTGGAACAGAATATCAATACATCTTTATACAAATAATTGTTTCAGCAGAACTGAAGCATTAGAATAAACATCATATATCCAATTCCAAACTGGGTCACAGGGGATTAAAACTCCTCAAAAGAATGGGAATAACATCTGTAGCTTTAAGAAAAATATGCCTACTGAACTCTCAGAGGCTGTTTTGGATGTAGTTAGGCAACCACAGAACTGCACAAGATCCAGTGCCACCAATGGCCATTGTGCAACTGGCCTTGGCACAGCTTGGTGCCTACCACTATGCAACTAGGCTCAGTCCAGTTGGATGCCTGCCACTGTGCAATTGGGCTTATCCCAACCTGGTGCCTGGCACTGCACAACTGCGCTTGGCCTGGTGCCTGCCACTGCACAACTGGGCCAGACCTTTCATGGGGAGAGGCTGCCAGAGGGAGGGAAGAAGGGTAAGCTGAAGACAAGGGTAGGTTGGTTGGTAGAAGAGAAGAGATTGGATTTATACCATGTCCTTCACTACCTGAAAGAGTCTCAGAGTGGTTTGCAATCCATTTCCCTTCCCCTCCCCACAACAGACACCCTGTGAGGTAGGTGGGGGTGAGAGAGCTCACTCCAAAACTGCCCTTGAGAGAACAGCTCTGAAAGAACTTATCACTGACCCAAGGTCACATCAGCAGCTACATGTGGAAGAGTGGGGAATCAAACCCGGTTCTCCCAGATTAGAGTCCGTGCTCCTAACGACTATACCAAACTTGCTCTCAGAATGGAAGAGGAGATGGAAGCAGGAAAACAGGGGAGGGTATGGAGGAATGGAAAGATGAAATAGTGGGGAGGGGGATACAGGGTGAAATGAGATGCCCCCTCCAAGTCTTTGCAGATCCCCCCCTTAGTCTAATGATAACTGGGCTCTGTATACTACTGAATAACATGAAACATAAATCTATTGGATTATATCCTTGAGACTGAGATATAGTTTGTTATGGAGGTCTACTTTGAAGTACAGGGTGAGTCTGCAGAGACATCAAAGGAAAGCTGATTGGCAGCCCACATTGAAAGATGGGTTGTTTGTGACCCACAGGATAAACTATGCAAGGAATGTGTCCCTGAAGACAAAGCCTTCTTCTAAGGTTCTTGCTCCTATTGAAGCCAAAATATAAGTTTTCTGTTTTATTTTATATAAGAGTATCTTCCTGGCATTTTTAGTGAGTCTGTATGTGAAGAAGAGAGAGGGTAAAAATGGTCCTTTGTTTTGTTTGACCATGATGGGATCTGTACGCCAAGGGCTGCAGCCTGTGACAGCTAGACAGCTAGACAAAACTATTTCCTCTGGTTAGAGACGTTCAGACAGATCTTGTTCAGTTGCAGATCCTTACGCGTTAGCTAATATTTCTATGGGTGATCACTATTATACTCAACAATATTTATTACAAATATACGTACCATCACTTTTCTAATAATCCAGCATCACTATATAGTAAAAGAAGGGCAATCTCATAGATGTACACGCTTGTAGTGCAATCCTTATAGTGCAATCCTAAACAGACTTATCACCAGTATATCTTCACAATATATCAACATGGCCCTGTCTGTAGAAATTTAAATCTGGAGACCATGAACAGGCAAGACAGATTTTTCTAGAAACCTGAAAATGTCTTGGGTTCATAGAAAAATGTGAAACAAACATTTTGGGGTTAAAATGCTCAACTAAATAGAAGCAATATCTGTAGCTTTAAGAAATGAATGCCATCTCAGTGTCTGCTGTGGGGGTTGCTAGGCAACCACAACAGCATTGGCCATCTTCAAACCTTGGTTTTTGTCAGTAAAAGGCAAGGGGAGGGCAAGGCCCTTTCCAAGGCTATTCTGGCCTTTGAGGGAGACTCATGGGGTGAGGTGCAGCAGCAACCACTAGGAGACTCACCCAGGCCTGGCTTCTCATTGCTATTCAACAGCAACCACTACACAAAAGCCAGTGTGCTGTAGTGATTAGAGTTTCAGATTAGGATTTGGGAGACCCAGGTTTGAATCTCCACTCCAGTATGGAAGCTCACTTGGTGATAGCCAGTCACGCACACTTAGCCTAATCCACTTTACAGGGCTGTTGTGAGGATAAGATGGAGGAAAATTATATAATCTGCTTTGGTTCCCATGGATGGAGAGGTGGAGTATAAATGAAGTAAATAAATAATAAATATAGCTGAAGGTGGGGGGGCAAATAAAAAGTGGGTGGGAAGGAGAGAAGGCAACAAGGAAAGTTTATTTATTTAAAACGTTTATATGCCATATTTCCACTCAAATAGGGTCCGAAGGCACTAAATACCAAGGCATTGAAACATTTACCACATTAAAACGACATTTAAAATTTATATATACTGAATAATACTATAAATACGTAAAGGTAAAGGTTCCCTTGCTCGAAAGCCAGTCGAATCCGACTCTAGGGTTGCGGTGCTCATCTCTGTTTCAAAGCCGAAGAGCCAGTGCTGTCTGAAGACATTTCCGTGGTCATGTGGCCGGCATGACTAAACACCAAGGCGCACAGAACGCTGTTACC